TTCTTTCAACCTTCATCACCACTAGTACTTAAAGAATTCTTGATCAATATTTATATGGACCCAGGAATAAAGAAAGCTCCGATCGATATTATCTATAACTATGCAAAACATGGACTTATTCACCCTAAAAGATGGTGCTCCTTTTGTGCTACGAGGATGCGACTGATAAAAACTAGACTCGATTATTTTGGATATGTTTGGGTATGCCCTGTTTGCTTTCAAGGAAAAAGAGTTACAGCAAGCACACCTATGAACACTATAAATTTACTGCTTTTTGACTTTGCCCTAGCTATGTGGGTAAAAAATGCCACACCTAAAATGGCTGGTGATATGAGCAGTGGAGGACATTCACTACAGGCTTAATTTTAGATATTTAGATGAGCTTACACATTCTATATGAAAACCAAAGTTTTGCCATATCTAGTACTGCCTGGACCAGTTGAAATAGATGAAGCTAAAATAGGCAGACAAAGATGGCATTTTAGAGGTGAGTTTCCAAAAAAGATCAAGTGGGCATTCGGCATGTTTTGTTGAACTACTTAGATACCAGTTATTTATGAGATTAAATGCAAGGTACATACTTATCTAGTATCGATTTTGAAAAGACATCTCAGAGCAGGAACAGTAATGCATTCAGATCATCATTCATCGTATGTGGTACTGAGATCAGCCAAATCATTGTTAGCTAAATACGGTTTCTATCATTATTGGGTTAATCATTCGAATCTCTATGTGCATGAGAAGTTCTCATTTGTAATGACTGGTAATATAGAAAGAGTGTGGAGTTAGCTTAGGCATATGATGATGCCTCTTAAGTTTTAAAGAAATTCTAAGAGAATTGAAGAATATCTTTGCACCTATATGCTTTAATAAATGGTTAAAAATAAGTAAAGAGAATCTTGGACATTAAAAATGCTAAGAGATTTCTACTTTCATCAGTATTACATATTTCTAAAGCATAGAAATGCAGAGGAAGATCGAGTTCCCGGTCTTAGGTCGATTGAGGACGTTAATACTAAGATAGAAGAAGTCGGCATGTTTTTTAGAGACTATGAATAGGAGTATCATGCTAGAAACCTAGCAGGTTATACGTTATTTAAGAATGAAGACCTTGAAGATGTAGTTAAACCTTTGTCAACCCAGGACATCGATCCTTCTATCTAGAATCTCAAATATGATCCACATAAGCATATCTTTCTTTCAAATAAATCAAGAGATGATATTGTAATGCACTTAGACCCTCGAGAAGATAAGAAACTGAGGCTGCAGTATATAAAATTTTACGAAGAGGACCAGGGAGTAGGCTGGTATAAAAAACCTCATCATCAAGATATAAGAGAAATTAAAAATAGTAATATTGGCGGAATAAATAGCAAATTGAATGATAATAGAAATGATTTACTTAATAGCAGATAAAACAGTAAAGGTGCAAGTAGTACAATTGTTGATTTAACATAGGATGATAATCCTGATGATTAGGATAAATAAAAAACGAAGATCGGTCCTAATGCGTCCAGGTTTCCCAATCCAATAAATGAAGAAGAGGAGTTGGGAGGTGAATATACAGGCATAGATATATCCTCCTTGAGCAGAGATAATGGTATCAGGTGTTATTACAGAGTTTTGCACCAAGGCTATCTGGATGGAGGAATTACTCTAGCATAGAGTGCTCTTGAAAAGGAAAATGAATTAAACAATGCAAAATTATCTGATGACGAACTTATGAATCAATTTTCTGATTGAAAAAAATAGGATAGAATCCAGAAATTGATCTTTCATAATGAGATTTATATATACATATCTAAGAAAGAAAATTGAATGTTCAATAGTAAAATAAATTAAATGCTTAATTTGATTAAGATAATAGACACATATCCTGGGGTTTTGGGGTTTTGGGG